CACATTGCAGGGGAGGGGTGGAAGGATCCTAGAGTCAAAGATCTAAAGTTGGAAAGGCCTTCCAGGGAGCTGTGATCCAATCTTCAGGCCTTTTTTGGTGAAGAAATGAGGTCCCAGTGTGATGAAGCTTCTTGGCCAAGGTCACCCTGGCCTTTGGTGTCAGAAGTGGAATTTGAGTTGCAATCTTTTGACTCTAGAGGCAGTGATTTTTCCACTTTACCAGATTCCCATGTGTTTTAACAATGTTGGTTCTTACAAGTCTACCTTTTCTGTCTCCATCCTGAAATTTGGTGATCCTAATTTTCCCTTTAAACATTTTTAAAAATTTCATTAATTTTTTTGTTAATATTTTTAAAATATTTTTAATTTTTTTTGTTTTTGATTTTTGTCAAGCCCATAATTTATGATTTTTGATTTAAAAATTTTTTTAAATATAAATTTATTTATTTTTAGTTTTCAACATTTACTTCCACAAGATTTTGAGTTCCAAATTTTCACCCCGTCTCTCCCCTCCCCCCACCCAAGATGGCATGCATTCTGAATACCCCTTCCCCTAGTCTGCCCTCTCTTCTCTCTCTCTCCCCCCCTTCTCTTATCCTTTTCCCCTTCTATTTTCCTGTAGGGCAGGATAGACTTCTGTACCCCATTTCCTATATTTCTTATTTCCCAGTTGCATGCGAAAACTTTTTTTTAAACATGTGTTTTTAAAACTTTGGGTTCCAAATTTTCGCCCTTCCTCCCTCCCCACCCACCCTCATTAAAAAGGCAAACAACTCAATATAGGTTGTACATGTGCAGTTATGCACACTTCCATAGTAGACATGTTGTGGAAAACTAACTCTATTTCCCTTAATCCTACCCCATTTATTCTATTCTTTCTTTTGACCCTGTCCCTCCTCAGAAGTATTTGCTTCTGATTACCCCTTTCCCAATCTGCCCTCTCTCTATCATCCCCTGCTGCTCTCTTGTCCCCTTTCCCCCTATTTTCCTGTAGGGTAAGACAGATTTCCATACCCAATTGAATGTGTATGTTATTCCTCCTTAAGCCAAATCCTATGAGAATAAGATCACTCATTCCCTCTCACCTTCCCCTGTTTCCCTCCACTGTAAGAGCTTTTCTTTTCTGTTTTTTTTTGTGAGATAATTTACCCTTCTACCTCTCCCTTTCTTCTTCTCCTAGTATAATCCTCTCTCATCCCTTAATTTTATTCTCCAGATATGACCCTTAATCTTCAACTCACCCTGTGCCCTCTATCTATCTATCTATCTATACATACATATAATTTTTTCCTCCAACTACCCTAATACTGACAAAGGTCTCATGAGTTATAAATATCATCTTTCCATGCAGGAATGTAAACAGTTCAACCTTAATAAGTCTCTTATGATTTCTCTTTCCTGTTTACCTCTTCATGTTCCACTTGAGTCTTGTATTTGAAAGTCAAATTTTCTATTCAGCTCTGGTCTTTTCATCAAGAATGCTTGAAAGTCCTCTATTTCACTGAATGACCATTTTTTCCCCTGAAGGATTATACTCAGTTTTGCTGGGTAGGTGATTCTTGGTTGTAATCCTATCTCCTTTGCCCTCTGGAATATTATATTCCATGCCCTGCGGTCCTTTAATGTAGAAGCTGCTAAATCTTGTGTTATCCTGATTGTGTTTCCACAGTACTTGAATTGTTTCTTTCTGGCAGCTTGTAATATTTTCTCCTTGACCTGGGAACTCTGGAATTTGGCTACAATATTCCTAGGAGTTTTCCTTTGGGGATCTCTTTCAGGAGGAGATCTGTGGATTCTTTCAATTTCTATTTTGCCCTCTGGTTCTAAAATATCAGGGCAGTTTTCCTTGATAATTTCTTGAAAGATGATGTCTAGGCTCTTTTTTTGATCATGGCTTTCAGATAGTCCAATAATTTTTAAATTCTCTCTCCTGGATCTATTTTCCAGGTCAGTTGTTTTTCCAATGAGATATTTCACATTGTTTTCTAATTTTTCATTCTTTTGGATTTGTTTTACTGTGTCTTGATTTCTCATAAAGTCACTATTTCCAATTGCTCTATTCTAATTTTTAAGGAAGTATTTTCTTCAGTTAACTTTTGGACTTCCTTTTCCATTTGGCCAATTTTGCTTTTTAGGGCATTCTTCTCCTCATTGGCTTTTTGGACCTCTTTTGCCATTTGGGTTAGGCTATTTTTTAAGGTGTTATTTTCTTCAGTATTTTTTTGGGTCTCCTTTAGCAAGCTGTTGACTTGTTTTTCATGATTTTCTTGCATCACTCTCATTTCTCTTCCCAGTTTTTCCTCTACTTCCTTACTTGCTTCTCAAAATCCCTTGTGAGCTCTTCCAAGGCCTGGGACTGATTCATATTTTTCTTGGAGGCTTTGGATGTGGGAGCTTTGACTCTGTTGTCTTCTTCTGGTTGTATGTTTTGATCTTCTTTGTCACCAAAGTAAGATAATATAGTCTGACTCTTTTTGCGCTGCTTGCTCATGATCCGAATTACTTGAGTTTTAAACTCTTTGTTAAGAGTCTGCTTCCAAGGTGGAGAGTGTATTGTCCCAAGCTTCAGGGGTTTGTACAGCTGTTTTCAGAGATACTTGTAGGGACCTGTAAATTTTCAGTTCTTGCAAGGTGGTATGATAAGGGGTGAGGTGTTTGCTCCTTTCCTGGCCTGTGCTGTGGTCTGTTAGTGACCACAAGCGCTCCTTTCTGTCCTGGAACTGTGAAGAAAAGGTTTCCTCTCCACTGCCGCTACATGCTCTACCACGCCAGCACTCCTCCTCACCCCAGGACCACTGCCCAGAACTGTGACCCAGATCCAAGCATGCTCAAAGCAAGAGATTCCTGCCTCAGCACTGGCAAAGAGATCCCTGCAGTCCCGCTCTGATCAGCCACTTGATTTCCCCCTCAGTCTGTGGGCCAGAAGTTCAGGCTGCAGCCACCGCCCTGGTGCCAGAGCCACATCTGCGCTTTGCGCTCAGGAGCTGGCTCTGACCTAGCTCCTCTCTCACCACTGCAGAAACAGACTTTTCCCACTGACCTTCTAAGTTGTCTTTGGTGTTTGTGGTCTGAGAGGTCCGGAAGCTGCCACAGCTGCCCGGATTCAGTCCTCTGAGGCCTGCGTGCCCACACCGCACTGCACTTTGCTCCCAGCCAGGCAGGCGCGATACCTTTCTGATCAATCATCCAGATTGTCTTGGGCTGGAAATTTGCTTCACTCTGTCTTTTTGTGGGTTCTGCTGCTTTAGAATTTGTTTAGAGTCATTTTGTATAGGTGTTTGGAGGGGTTTGAGGGAGAGCTCAAGCAAGTCACTGCTTTTACTGCCTCATGTTTTATTCTATTATTTTAATGTTAGCATCACTGTTGGCATAGATTGAATAATTTTTACAATGGGAAAATAGTTGCTAAAAATATTGAATCCTTTGCCCTACCTGAGTACTTCCAGATACATATATGGCAAAAATTTGTAATTCCTGAAATTTTATGGCTTTCTAATAAAGAAATTCAGGTTAAGAAAGAAAATTATTTCTTAGTAATCTATTGTTTTCCTTATGGCTAAAGCAAAGAATATTGGTTTTTGATGTCAGTAAACTTATTTTTAAGTGCAGCTGTGCCACTCAGCTGTTTGAAGTTAGAGAGGTCACTTCTCCTTTGCCCCATTTTCCCTGTCTGTAAACTGAGAATAATAATAATTATACTACTTACCTCATAGGCCTGATTTGAGTGTCAAATGGCATACACTGAAATATATAAATGTCTTTGTAATTTTTGTTTGTAATCAAACATCTCCTGATATATTTTAAAGCCTCATTGCTGTGTGGAGGTGATACTGAGATCTAGAAAGCTGTATCAGCGGAGCTTAAGTTTACTGTGTGGAAAAGAATTTGAGTGTGTAACTGTCATCAAAGGATCAGCCTAGCGAAGTAGATTTTTTTTTTAACCACACTCAACAAACATTTGTTGAATTTCCCTGTGTTCTAGACACTGTACTAGTTTCTGGGATTACAGATAGAAAAAATGAAAAAAATCGTGCTCTGAAGAAGCTTATTCCATATTGGGTGAAATAGCATGTGTACATATGTATCAGTAGATACACAGAACAAATTCAAAATAAATTGTATTCAGGCAATTAGGAAGAGAGTGCGCTAGCAGTTGAGGGTATCAGGAAAGCCTTTCTGTGGAAGGGGGTGGGGCTTGAGTTGAGCCTTGAAGGGGGAAAGGGGCTCTGTGAGACAAGAGGTGAAGATGGAAGACTTTTCCTGTCATGGGGGATGGCCATAGTTAAGGTGGGGGAGGTGGGAGAGTGAATGCGAAGGGTTAAGAATGGAGAGAAGGCCTATTTGGCTGGATAGAGTATGGGAAGTGAAGAAACAGGTGATGAGGCTGGAATAATAGGGTGGGGCCAAGCTGTGAACAGCCTGCAAAGCAAAACATATATTTTATCCTCCAGGCAAGAGGGAGCTCCTGGAGTTTATTAAGTAGGGAAATGGAGGGTTTACTCACTGTGATCTAATGGTGAATCATGACCCTTTGAGCATTTATTAAATGCTTGCTTAGTTCCAGACACTTATTAAGCCCTAGAAACACCCCCCCCTTCCAAAAAAAAGACAGTCTCTGCCCTCAAGAAGCTTATAATCTAGTGGGAGAAGACAACACACAGAAGGCCGATGAAGGTAGAGGGGTCATGATGACAAACCCCAGAGGAATGCAGCCTCCGTTGGGTGGAAAATGAAAAGGTGGCTGGTAGGGTGGGGCGTTGCTACTTAAATGGAGGTTCTGATAGGGGTTCTCCCTCTCTTCCCTCTCCAGTCAAAGGGAGGGGCCCCAGGACAGGAAATGCTGATGAGGTGGGAAGACCAGGGCTGACCAGATCTTGCCTTGTGGAGGTTTCTGGAGCATGATGGTGAAGTCTGGAGGAGTGCAGCCCTAGCTAGGTGGGAAATGAAGGCCCGTTTTGGACTGACATGTCCTGATGATTGTCTTTTCTATTTTGTTTCAGATAGCTGCCATCACTCACCCTGGTCTGCTGGGCATCTTTCCATCTTGGATTTGTGTAGAACGCCAAGGTAAGGTATTTTCTGATGCTTCACTCCTTTAAGGCTCCAGCTGAGAAGAGAGGGAATTGCTGCTGATATAGTTAAAGTTGCTGAAACTGTCTGAATTCTTTTCTGAGGTCTAAGAGGAGTTAAGTAGCTATAGAATTGGTTTATTTGAAAGAGAGGGAAAATATCTTACTATAGTATAGAGTGCTTATTTTTGCAGAGTGAGGAATATGCTTATTTCCTCTCCCTGGGACAACATACATAAACCAACAAGTTCTTAGCCTGTATCGCACCTTCCTGGCAAGAGACCCTTAAGGGAAATAGCCTGCAGATGATTTCTAGACTGTTTGTTGATGTCAAATGACTCAAAACAACTTAATGCAGTACTAACTGAAATAGAGGTCCCGTGGTATTATGGGAAGACTCAGTCAGACAGTTATTAAGCATTTACTATACGGCAGGCACTCTGCTAAGCCCTGGAGAAGCAAAGACAAAAGCAAAATAATCGCTCCCCTCAAGGAACTTCCATTCTAACAGGAGAGATAGCGTACATGTGCGCATGCGCGCGCACACACACACACACGCATGCATAGAAATATGTATGTATGTATGTATGTACATAGTTTGCTCCTGTATATGTGTGTATACGTACACATATATATGGATTTATTACATGTGTATATACATACATACATACATACATACAGGGCCTCAAGTGACCTTGAATGGGAAGGGAAGGCATTAGCCCTAGGGAGCCTGGGAAAGGTCTTTTTGTGGAATGTGGTCCTTGAGATGCATCTCCATGGAAACCAGGGGTTCTCAGAGGTGGAGGTGAGGGGGGGTGCATCCCGGCTGGGGGATGGCTAAGGCAAAGGCACGGAAATCGGAGCATCGTGGGTGAGGACTAGTAGGGCCCGTATGACTGGAAGTAATATGTAAGGCAAATGGGACATCAGGAAGAGGACCGAGTGTGAAGAGTTTTAAAATGTGAAACAAAAGAGTTTGTATTTGATCCCAGACGTCAGAGGGAGCCCTAGAATCTGTTGAATAGAAGGGAGAGACAAGGGAACACAGCTCGACCTGCGTGGCCAGAGCTGTGCTTTAAGGAACATTATGGCTATTTGAGGAGTAGAAGCTGCGGGCAAAATATGTTGTAATAGCCTAGGCCGGAGATGAGAAAAGTCTGAACTATAGTGGTGGCTCTATGAATGCTGAGAGAGAGGACACATCCAGGAGATGGAGTAGAGGCGTAGATGACAAGATCTGGCGACTGACGGCATCAGTGGGGTACGAGGAAGTGAGGAATCAAGGGCGATACTAAAGTTGCAAACTGAGGTGATTTGAAGGATGGTAGTGCCCTCCATAGTACAATTTTAGAAGATCAGAGGGCTTGGAGGGAAAGATATTAAATTCTCTTTGGGAAATGTCCATTAGAGCAGGGCATCTTGAACTTTTTCTGCTCCATATTCCTTTTCCTGTTTGGCAGTTCATTGAGTTGCATGGCCTGAGGGTGTGTGTGGTGCAAAGTGCGCCTGTGTTCAGAACCAAGGCTGCAGTGAATGCAGCAGGCTGCCAGAAACACCTCGGATTCATTGCACATTTAATTTTTAATTAATTTTTGGTCGTTGCATGTTCAGAAATCTTTTACTGTTGCCAGGTTTTTCTCAACCCCATGTGGGGTCCTGACCTGACCCATAGTTCAAGAAGCACTGCATTAGAGAGCTGGTAATGTAGAATTGGGGCTGGATACCTAGATCTTTCTTATCTAGATGCTTGTTAGACGCTTTTATCTGAGCATCATCTGCATAGAGATTTTAAGCTGCCTACAAGTGGGAGCTGGCCATGGCTGCTGCTTCTGCTGGGCTCCAAGGCTGTTACTCCATGGCATCTGCTTTGCCCTTATCCTGTTCTGGGGCTCAAGTGGCGGGTAGCCCTCACCGAGGCTGGGAGAGGCCGGCATTGGGCACCTCCAGCTTTCCCTGGCTTCCCTCCAGTCTCGCCTCCTGCCAGAGGCTTTTCCTGGTCCCCTCAGCTGCTGGTGCCCTTCCTTCTGAAATCGCCTTCCATTTCCTCGCTGTCTCCCATACGTACTTAGTTATACACATATTGTCTCCCTGCTTTTAAAATGAGGACAGGCACGGTTTTTGCTTTTCTTTTTATCTCCAGTGCTTAGCACAATGCTTGATATGTTGTAAACACTTAATAAATGCTTGCTGGCTTATTGAATCACTTCCCTGGCCTGGATATGCTCCTTGAAGCAGAGATGACAGGAGCCATCACATTGGACCAAGTGTAGATGGGAGGGAGACGTTCTAGAGGTGATGCAGTGTGAGGGTGTTGAGGGTCTGAGAGCAGAGGTATCTGTAGAAGGAGAAGATACCAAAGGCTGAGAAAGACCTTGGAATTCCATACCTAAAATGGCGACCAAAAGACCATCAGTAACTACCAGCATGTGTAACGTTGTCCTGTCTATATGAAGTCTTTGTGAGAGTCTGCTTTGCCTGAATTGAGGCCATCCTCCGTGAGGGTATTAACAGGGGACATGCAGCCCTTTGGTTTAAAAAACAAAAAAGGACCTTATCTTTACCACTTCACGATCAACTGAAAGAGTGAGTAGAAAACACAAAATCCTTGTGCTTATTATTTATTGATTATGGAACTAGAACAGAATACTTCCGTGCAGGCTGTCTCACAAGAGGACTCCCAGCCATATGCCAGAATCACTTCAGATTCCTCATAAGATAAAACAACAGAATTAACGCTGCTCTGTGACCCTCTGGTAACAACCCTGGGCAAGGCGAGGTGTTCACTCCTCCGATGGATGAGTTCCAGGAGAGAGTCTAACTTGAGGGATTTCCCCATGGATGACAAAGTGCTCTACGTATTTCTGTTTGGAGATGAGATGCTGCTGCTTGCATCAAACCCCAGAACATTCTAGAGCCTCCCGGGAAAGGTCTATAATCACTTAAAAGATTTTGACCTGGTCCATCTGCATGAGAAAGATCAAGTGAATGAAGGAATCTTGCTCAGATTTCGGGATGTATTTGTATGAATAGCCTATAGAAGTTTCCAGTAGTATATATTTCTGGGCCAGAGAGAAGGAAGAGAGTGGGCCAGGTTACTTTTAGGAAATTATGGAGTTATTTTTTTTACTATCCCTAAGCTTCCCCTGAAAACAGAGGCCCTCCTTGTAATGTTAAGTTTGTGCCAGTGTTCCTGTATGGAGTGAGAATATAATTTTCTCCAATGAATTAAAAATGAGTATCACACAGTAGTCAGTCAATGGTCAGTGCTAGTTGGGTGGGAAGGTGGCTACATGTCACCAAGGAGGACATCTGAAGAGCAGGTGTTGAAGTCCTTATCAGGGCACTATATGGAAGGAAGAGGAGATGGACTGGCAGAAGATGGAAAGAATGGGGATGACAGAGGGATTAAGTGAGTCTCCACTTCCTTGTAAGGCTAAGAAAAAGTGAGGATGACTGCCGGCACACTGGGAAGACCCCCTGAATGGCTCTTTGGGAAAGACACGAGATAAGAGTTGCACAGGATGGTCAGGAATGGATGAATTGGGAACTGCATTGTTGGAGGAAACTCTGCAATCTCTGAAATCACAGAACCATTTGAGTATTACAGGAAATGATAACAAAGAGATGGCATACCAGCATCTGTGGGTGTGGATAAAGCAATCTTTGGAAGAAAATTTATGTCTGAGCACTCTAACCAAAGTTAAACAGAAAAAAATGAGCTTAACATGGGATTTTTAAAAACTGGAAAAACAAATACCTTCCAAAAAACACAGAAGTAGAAATTTTGAGAATTGGAATTGGAAAGAGTTGGCTTCTTAAAATCTTTTTTAAAAAATCTTTCATTTTTATATCCCTTTCAATATTAAATATGCCTCTTCACTCAGGGAGCCGTCCCTCGTAACAAAAAATTAAAAAAAGAAAAAAAAACGTAAGCAAAACTTCAGCAAAACTAACCAAAACATGAACTGCTCCTGACCATCCTTAGTCCAGTCAGGCCAGCAAGCATCTATGAAGTGCCTCTTTGTGCCAGGTTTTGTGCCAAGCATGGGGGATCCAAAGAAAGCCTAGAACATGGTTCTTACCTTTAAGGAGCTCACATTCACGTGGGGCAGAGAACATGCAAAGACAGTGTAAATGGTGTCAGTGGAAGGTGATCATAGAAGGAAGGTGCCAGCCGTGGAGTGGCCCTGGAGGCCTGGGAAAGGCCTCCTGTAGAAGGTAGAATTTGAGCTGAGTCTTGAAAGTAGATGTAGTCGAGGAGGGGGACGGTAGCTGCAAAGTCATGAAGGTGGGAGATGGAGTATCACGGAAGAGGAGCAGCAAGTAGGTCTGGGTTTTCATGGGCATCTTTGGGGGTGCTTTGGAGAAGGCAGCATTCTTTCCTGGTGGCTTTTTGAGAAACTGATCCAGGACTCTCGCATTGGTCTGCAAGGAGCATTTCCAGTATGGTGCATTAGGTGGATGACCAAACGAGGAGTCAGGAGACTTTGTATCACAGGCAAACCTTCTTGCCTCTGAGCCTCAGGAAGACTCTAAAGTAAAGGCATTGAGGCAGACTTTCAATTAAGCAAATAGTTCTTAAATGCTCGTTTTGGTATAAAGCACTTTGCAGGATGCAGCCACTACAAGACAGGAATGAAAAAGTTCCTGCCCTTAAGGAACGTATGTTCCACTGGGCACTCCAACGTGTACACAGAGAAGCCAATGCAAGATGACGTGAGGAGAGAGAGGAAGCCTGATCCCTGGGGACATCAAGAAAGGCTTCATGGCATCTGAGCTGATCCTTGAGGGCATCTAGAGTTTCAAACAGGAAGGAGCAAAGAAACAGGCTTTCCAGAGGAGATAGACTAGCCCATAGAAGGATCAGAAATGACCAAGAAAAATTGGAGTTTGGGGATTGTTAATGGGTCAACTTGGCTACAGGGTGGCCAAGAAGAGGAGATCTTCTATGTGATCAGTCAGTCTGGAAAGAGGAGCTAATTTGTGGGGGGCTTTAAA